TTTTCTTCATCTTCAAAATTTTAAAGAAATCTTTCTTTGATAATAACATTTTCATTTTATTGAAATTTCGAATCCACCTCATTAGTGCATTGGCCTTGGATGAACCATTGTCAAATGTCTTCCGAAGTTTGATTTCCGAAGTTTGATTTCTCTAAAATCAGCGAAGAGGAAAAAAAAGAATGAATAATAATAAGAAAAAAAACCAAAAAATAACTAAATTTCAAGATAATTCTTAGAAATCTCTTCTCAGAAGAGAAATTGGTGATGCTATCATTCTTTTGAAGAATTTGCTGAGATTTATGACATAAAATGTTTGAATCTATGGCACTGAAAAATCGGTACATCGATCAATGTGACATTATGGTTTTCTACACGTCATATCGTTTATAGAATAACAAACAAATAAACAAAAAAAGCAAGCTAAATGTACTTTATAACATGTGCCAGAGTGCGTGTTCGAATGGTTACGGAGTTAGTTTCGACCATAAGGAAGTGCCTGAAAACTAGGCGACGGCTTGATCCAAGCCTTGTGACTAATATTTGGTTAGACGATACGGTTCGGATACCGTCGATAGTTTTAGTTATGGTGGAATTGCAAATCCTTGACTACTGAGCAAAGTGGAGCTCTCGATTAAAAAAAAAACCCAGACACAAACATTTCCCCCAGCAACCTTTCCCGAGGATATAGCGGACTGAAAAATGCTCAATAACTGAAATTCTGAAAAACCAAATCATGCAACTTCGTCATCCTCGGTGGGAGATTGTATAGCACAACACTTACTAGAATAGAGACGATGCTTTATCTCAGAGCAGGGGAAAATATTTATTGGTTTAAGCACTAAACAACAATGAAATAATAAAAATACTTCCCAAATTTTTAGATGATAAGGCAGATCGCAGAGCACGCTCAGTAAAGCGTGGCAATCAAAACAACAAAGATAAGGATATTTGACCTCACAAATTTTTGAAATTATTATAATAGTTAATCTACGAGAGAAATTCTTTAAACAACCCCTACAATCACTGTTAAAAAAAAAGTCTCCCTTGAGCAATCTCTTCTTGCACGGAAGTTTTTCCAGAAACAGGATATTATATAGGGCCAAACAGAAAACAGGATATCATATAGGGTCAAACAAAAAACAGGTTATATAGGGCCAAACAGAAAAAAGGATATCAAATAGGGCCAAACAAAAAACACGATATCATATAGGGTCAAACGAAAAACAGGATATCATATAGGGTCAAACAGAAAACAGGATATATAGGGCCAAACAGAAAAAAGGATATCAAATAGGGCCAAACAAAAAACAGGATATCATATAGGGTCAAACAGAAAACAGGATATCATATAGGGTCAAACAAAAAACAGGATATCATATAGGGTCAAACGAAAAACAGGAAATCATATAGGGCCAAACAGAAAACAGGAAATCATATAGGGCCAAACAAAAAACTGGATATCATATAGGGTCAAACGAAAAACAGGATATCATATAAGGCTAAACAAAAAACAGGATATCATATAGGGCAAAACGAAAAACAGGATATCATATAAGGCTTAACAAAAAACAGGATAACATATAGGGCCAAACGAAAAAGAGGATATCATATAAGGCTTAACAAAAAACAGGATATCATATAGGGCCAAACGAAAAACTGGATATCATATAGGATCAAACGAAAAACAGGATATCATATAGGGCCAAACGAAAAACAGTATATCATATAAGGCTAAACAAAAAACAGGATATCATATAGGGTCAAACGAAAAACAGGATGTCATATAGGGTCAAACAAAAAACTGGATATCATATAGGGTCAAACGAAAAACAGGATATCATATAAGGCTAAACTAAATACAGGATATCATATAGGGACAAACGAAAAACAGGACATCATATAGGGTCAAACGAAAAACTGGATATTATATAGGGTCAAACGAAAAACAGGATATCATATAAGGCTAAACGAAAAACAGGATATCATATAGGGCCAAACAAAAAACAGGATATATAGGGCCAAACAGAAAACAGGATATCAAATAGGGCCAAACAAAAAACAGGATATCATATAGGGTCAAACGAAAAACAGGATATCATATAGGGTCAAACAGAAAACAGGATATATAGGGCCAAACAGGAAAAAGGATATCAAATATGGCCAAACAAAAAACAGGATATCATATAGGGTCAAACAGAAAACAGGATATATAGGGCCAAACAGAAAAAAGGATATCAAATAGGGCCAAACAAAAAACAGGATATCATATAGGGTCAAACGAAAAACAGGATATCATATAGGGTCAAACAGAAAAGAGGATATATAGGGCCAAACAGAAAGAATGGATATCAAATAGGGCCAAACAAAAAACAGGATATCATATAGGGTCAAACGAAAAACAGGATATCATATAGGGTCAAACAGAAAACAGGATATCATATAGGGCCAAACAAAAAACAGGATATCATATAGGGTCAAACAGAAAACAGGATATCATATAGGGCCAAACAAAAAACTGGATATCATATAGGGCCAAACGAAAAACAGGATATCATATAAGGCTTAACAAAAAACAGGATATCATATAGGGCCAAACAAAAAACTGGATATCATATAAGGCTAAACAAAAAACAGGATATCATATAGGGTCAAACGAAAAACAGGATGTCATATAGGGTCAAGCGAAAAACTGGATATCATATAGGGTCAAACGAAAAACAGGATATCATATAAGGCTAAACTAAAAACAGGATATCATATAGGGTCAAACGAAAAACAGGACATCATATAGGGCCAAACGAAAAACAGGATATCATATAGGGTCAAACGAAAAACAGGATATTATATAGGGTCAAACGAAAAACAGGATATCATATAGGGTCAAACGAAAAACAGTATATCATATAGGGTCAAACGAAGGAAGGTCGTTGATGAAGATAAAAAAATATGGTAAGACCAAGGATAGAACCATTGTGAATGGTGTTCAATATTCAATTCAGTGCTTTTTTAATTGTTTCTAGGAAGTGTTTCTTATCTCTTAATATTTTGTTTAATTTCTGGAAGCCTTCAGATTTCTAGAAGACATCTGTTATTTCTGTAAGCCTTCAGATTTCTATCACATTTACTGTTGTCTGTTACTAACAATATCTAAATAGCTCGATTTCTCTCCTTACTCGTTTCTGACGTCCTCAATGTCGTTGGCGTGTGGCGTGTGTCTGCTGCCAATCAAGTCATTAAAATAGAAAACAAACGCTCGAACTGTTAAATTCTATGTCTTATTTGTAGTATCTGTCGGTCACGAGAAACCCTAGATCTGCGACAAAGAGTTATGCCTGAGTTGATGATGGCCCTGCAGCATCTATTATGGCTGTACAGGCCCACACGAGAGTGACAGTTTCGATTGCAACGAGTGCACGTGAAGATGTTGCAGTGTTGTTTTCTTTCCGTTGAGCACGGCGATAAATCTTTCCCCGCTCCAACCGTCGGTGTAAATGGCGTCTCCAGCGTTAAGCTCTCAGCCGTGCCCAGTTACCCTGGCCTATACGTTCTTCTCAGCTGGCTTGTAAGGATTCCGAAGACCCTTCTGTACGGGGAAATGGCCACCATAAAGACTGCATGGAGCGACCTCATCTTTGCTTCAAGGACATCGAGAGGCAGGAAGACGTCGCTAATGATTGCAACAATTTATGCCTTAGGTATTGTCGTATAGATTTAGTAAACATAAAATAGCTCTATTGGTTTTGATGCAATGCTGCCCAATTACCAACGTCTTTTTCCCTCGTTGACTGTTCGGATTTCTTCACTGGCCCTAGAAGGGCAGTACCGCCTACTTTCGGAAGGACCGCTCTAGGAGACTGTCATTGGTCCATGATGAGTTTTTCATATCATCTCTAATACAAGTTGGTGTTATTTCTGACGCTTCTTTGTTCTCCAAATAAAACAGATAATATACGGCACTAGCAGCAGAAAAATCCCTGGCCTTAATACACTCTTCTCCATAAAACATCATCCAATTTTAATGAAAAGTTTTCTGTCAAGATGTTTAGCAGTGGGAAAAAGAGTATCGAAAGGCGGATTCATGCCTTTCCAAAGAGCTTTAGGAATGAAATAACATCAAGTGAAATTTGAATTCGATTCACCAAAATAAAAACCTAAAGCTCTACGTCATAATATTTTTCTTCTCATTCATGTTTTTAAAATATTTTAAAAGATGCACACAATTTTATCAAGTCATCGTGACGGTGGATGTGAGCGTCCAACCGTTGTTCAAAGTATCGATCATGCCTGATGACGAGTTCTTTCCCAGAACTTGTAACTAAGATCCGCTTAACAGAGTTACAATATTAACCATAAGCAGGCTCTGTAGGTTTTGAACAATCACGAAATGTGCTTGAGCAGCTGTCTGCAACAGGGATTGGATAGACGTCCTAACTGGCATCCGTTCTCGGAAAATGAGTTACCGGCTATTATTGTATTTAAATGCAAAGTTAGTTTGGATTCGCTTCCAAACATAAAAGAGACAATCCAACAAGTAGCTTGCGATGAAATAACAATGAAATTAATTTTTGTATTTCATTTCGATTTGAATTAATAATATTTAAAAATGTAATTTATTGAAGATGTGGACTAATTAATAAAGTAGTTATGGAAAAGGGAAACAGATAAACATAGATAGATAGATAGATAGATAGATAGATAGATAGATAGATAGATAGATAGATATTGAATAAAAAGCCAGCAATAAACGTGTGAGATACTCAAGAATTAGATAAGTTAATGTATTTAATTTTTTTCATTGTTCATTTTATCACTATCTCCTTTCATAAAAGAAGAATAAGAAAAGCCTCCAATCAAATATTGATGACAAAAGCGAATCCGGTTGACAAGAGACGAGATAGACATTGCTGGAAGCGTCATTGAAAGACGTCGAATGATGCTAACTCGGATGTACAGGGAATTTAAAGACATACAATAAGAAACTCGACGTGAACTTGAGGCGAATG